CCTGCCCTAACCTGGTCAAGGAGTCATAACTTTAAATAAATCAGAGTACCCTGCTGCAGACACAGTCCGGCCTCTTCCTTTGTGTGGTGTGACAGGAGTTACTGTCATGTCGCGCCGCCACAGCCTGACATGTTCCAGTCTTGGACGATATTTTACATCAGAGATGAGGAGAGGAGGCTGTTCTACTGGAGGGTGACGACGGGAGGTGGTCGTTTTTCTGAGCTCTGCAGGCTCTGATGGAGTCGAAACATTGGTCTTTAAATGTTTTCTATTCTAAATAATGTTTGAAAATGACTTTTCAGACATGTTGGATGTTATTGATCACATCCTGAAATGTTGCACGTTTGCACCTTGCTGGAGGGCAAAAAGATGATTTTTTTTTTTTTACTTGCATTTTTATTTAACAAAATGAAACCTGGAGACGAAGGTATCACTGATTCAGTGCAGAGCATCAAAGCAAAGAGAAAGAAAATGCAGAAAAACCGAAAAAACAACTCGAAACCAATCGTATTCTACTTTCTTCTCGCTCTGAGTTTACTAACCTACACACAGACCCGTTGCTGTAGCAACTGACAACCGCTCCACTACACGCATCAGGATTCAACACCAAAAACCAGCAAAACATTTCCAACACAAAGAACAGAACATTCAGTCCGTTTAAGTTTCATGTTTTCAGGCTTGATATTTAATTTGCGATTATTAATAAATGATCACAGCGGTGAGTGATTCGCTAATTTAAACACCTGCTCTAGTGATGTGTTAGAGATTTGCCTCTTTTTTAAAAACTGAACCGAAATGCGTCAAATTCCACATCATGGCTTCATGTTTAGGTTGTCAAAGTCAAGTTAGCATAACTGACCTCCTTCCCCCACCCTCGCTGTATTTTTCTAAATTAAAGCGTTTACCCCGTTATCTTAGTGTTGACATGTAGCAGCAAAGCACTGCAGCCCTTTTTCTTTTATATATCTGATATAAATTTAGCATTCAGTGTGTTGACAACTTGATAGCTAAAACCAATGGTACCAATCGTTAGCTGGTTTTCTGCAGACAATGAACGTGTAATCATTACACACTTTCTCTCTTAAATCCAGTTGAAGCAGTAATGATGATAAATGTTCCAACAAACTGGATTTAGAGGATTCGCTTTTTGCATGACAGCATGTTTTTTGATACTCAAACTGTTGGATATATGCCAGATGTCATATAATGTGAAAAGGGTAGAGAATCTACTCCTGCGTGTCCTGAGGAAGGGTTGAAATTGAGTCGAAGTCAAAGGTCATCCGTCAGTCGTATTGAATAAAAACTGCTGATTTGTTCTCCTCCTCGTCAGTCTGAGTCCACCGCCTCTGTTTTCCGTTGTTTACGCGTCTTCACGCCCATCTGGCTGCGGGGAGAGGGCACCGGGGTTAGAAGCGTGTGCTGCTGGAAAAAACGGGCCGTGAATTTCCATAGAGCAGAAAATATAATGCTGCATCAGGTCCAACTGTCAGCCTCCTCCTGACATTGAGAGGAGACGAGGATGCATGCAAACAACACACACATCTGCACACAGTTCGTTTGGCTCGCCACGACCCGCAGACATTTACATCCCCCTCACTTAGGCCCAATCAAATTACTGCTGAAGGACGAGGAAATAAGACACAGCAAGACAGCAAAAGATGCATCCTGCAGCACACAGTTCAAAAACACCAACAACTTGGCTGTTGCTTTATGGAAACAAAATAACTGTAGGTTTTTTGGTGAAAATTTACAGAAACAATTTTGGCAAGCAAAGCTCAGAAATTTTCTAGAAAAAAATCTGGAAATTTCAAAGCTTGTAAAGTCTAGATTTCAAAGGTTTTTCAATATAATTTTTTTCTATCAAATTTTCAACTTTTCAAACTTAACCAGGTTTTTCAAGAAAATTTCTGAGAATCTCAAAATTTATTTTTCTCAAACAAATTTCCATCTTTTCAAGATCAGGTTTTTTCTAAAAAATTTCTAGAAAATGTTTTAATTTTCAAACATATTTATGATAAAATGTATGATTTAAGTTTATTAACATAGTTTATTAACTCAATTTGTGACATTTAACCAAGACTGCTTTATCTGTGATTCTCAAAAAACAAAACCTACAAATGATTAAAATGCAACAGGCATTTTTAGACAGTAAAAAACTTTTTCTGTTTGCTCCTGTCACTTACTTTGCTGCCTCTGCTGCCGTTTCAGTCAAACTTCTCCGTTTCTCCTCCTCCGTCACTCTGAACTTCGGTGTGTCGGAGTTGGCTACTTCTTTTACTGGCAGCCTGTTGATTAGTTTGAGCATTACTGCCACCTAGTGACCGGAGGCTTGTTTATCATTCTCACCAAAGACGAATGCGACTCAGACTTTTTCAGTGCAATCTGAATCCTGATGTTTTTCACCCCCAAACATCAGAATTTTACATTTTCAGTCGGCTCGGTCATGTTTGTCATTTTATCTGAGTTTTTCATCGTGAGACTTGAATCATAAATCTGCACTAGCAAGACGTGGAAAATCCAGACAAACAATGACTGAAGCAAGAAGTTACGGCAACGTTATGATCTTGAATATTTTCTTTTTCTTTCCACAGACATACAGAAAAACTCAATCTTCTATGGAGATCCAACCTGGATTAAAATGCGAATAAAGACAGAATTAGCTGACAATGAAGACGTTAGCCCGACTTAGCAGGATTCCCTTCTGTCTTCCCTTCCCTGATATCTGACTCACAAACTGCAGAAGTTTGTTTTATGGGATGGTGAATTTAAAACTACAAATTTCTATCTAAAATACCAAAACAAACTAAAAATATGTTATACAAGTTTAAGTGATTTTGAGTTTGGTCAGCTTTTTAAGCCAAGTTTAGAGAATACATTAAAAATAGGACAAGTAGGTCTTGTAAAGGAGATTTGAAGTCCAGTCATAAAAACAAAATTTAAACAAACAAAAAAAAAAAAGAAAAACATTTGTCAACAAGAGCTTTTTCCTGCCTTGTGTTGAATGGAGTGAATCACCAGCTGAATGAAGCTGATTCAAGATATTTTAAGGATAAAATGGATTTAACCCAGAAAAAGTACAAAAGCTTAAGCAACACTGACATCATTCTCCGTTTATGTAGCCAACATGAGACAGAAAAAGGTTTTTAAAGTCTTCAGAGCACAAGTCATAGTCGAGGGTCTTTAATTTTTGAAACTTAAGTTCAACTCGAGTCTCTAGGACAAGCCTGAAAATCGGCTTTTATGTTGTTCGGTCAACAAAAACTGGCCACATTCCTTTAATCCTTTAAATTTTTTACATGGATAAAAAACCAAACGTTTCTCAGTCACTCTTAGTTTAAAGCCCTTCAAGAACAATTTGATATTTCCTCCTAGTTTAAGTTCTGAAATATGAGACTTTTACCACTACAAGGTTCTCATGGCAAAGATAAAAGGATATATTAAAAAACCCTAGTGTTTTAAAATGTATGTAGCCAACAATTATAAGTCACAATGAGACCCAATTTTAGATTTACTTGGCGAATATTGACAGAATAAAAAAACACTAAGAAAGTGGCTGCAAAAAAGTTCTTCCATATTTCCTTTAAGAGATTTTGCTGTTCCATTATAAGACAATATAAGTAGCTAAAGGGGAATAAGTACGGGAAAACAAAAAAGAAACGGAGGATGCAAAGATATGCATAACTGGCCCACTTTATTATTCTTATATCATGACTATCCTCATAATTTTATTACTTAGTTCTCATAATTTTATTTATTTATTGTTAGTTTGGCCCCAATACTCCGTCATTATAAACAACCATCCGAGATCCGAACAAAATGGCCGTTAATGTTAATTCAATATTTTAAAGTGTGACCAACATGGACTGTATGACTTTGTTCACTGATAAAACTACACTGATTCTAAAACAGAACAGAAAACTGATGTCATCGTTCACAACGTCTTGTGTTCGCTGACTGACTCTAAAGAAATCCTACAGGAGACAATCCAACTCTATAGGAGAAATCCCAGATGAGAATCAGGCAGAAATGGGTAGGCTAATAAAATGCCTTTATGGTAAAGTTATGAATTAGCGATAAACACAAACAGAAACAAGGAGGAAATAACGGCTGAAAACATGGAAGGAAAGAAACCAGGACACAAGAAAGGAAAAACAAATGAATAGAGATAGGAAACAAGGATGGAAAGAAGAAATGAAAGAAAAGATAAGGAACAGTCTGTAAATACAAATTACTTTTGCATACTTATTTAGTCCTGAAAAATACTGATATCAGGACAGGAAGTCAAAGAGGTCAGACTCTCAAAGCGCAAATACAAAAACGACAAGAAAGCAACGGAAAAACAAGACTGAGGGAAATAAAATAAAATCCAAGTGAAAAAGACGAGACGCATAAGAGTATTGGGAGCTAATGTTTGCTTGTTATTCCAGCAATAATTTTCCCCCCGGAGCTCATTAAAGTCTGGAGAGAAACGATCCACAAAACCTTAAAAAACCAACAGAGTGGAGACGGAGAACACGAAGCAGGTGTGAGCTTCCAAACAACGCAGAAAATAAATGAACAGAAGAGAAAGAGCTGAGGAGGGCCAGAGAAAGCAAGGAGAGGCTGCAGACAGACTCACGGGTTTTACAGAAACGACGTAAAAATGACAAAACCAGAAAAACCTCCATCTGCATGCAGCTTTCTGGGCGTTTAACAAACTACCAGGACAGACGCGTGTTTGGTTTAAGAAAAATAAAAGTACAATTTCATTTTATTGAGTTCTTCAAAGCAAATAAAAAAACTTCATAAATTGATTCAATTAATAAATAATAATTGCAAAGTCTAAATATGATCTTTTTACAGTCAATAATAATAATAATAATAGTCCTTTTATGCTATCATTTTCTATAGAAGTAGTAGTTTTAGCCGTTTAGCCACAATTTGTTCGACACAAAACAAAAACAAGAAGCATGATTTTAATCAGCAGAATGGCAGCTTCAGATTTTTCCACACAATCAATATTAGGTTTCTGTTTCTCTTTTATATAACACTCAAGTACGGAAATACAGATAATATAGTCATCAGTCAAATTCATTACCTAGTAGTACCATTATTATCATCATAATACCAGGAGAATAAAAACAGTGGCTTTGATATATTAATATTTGTGTGTGTGTGTATGCATGTGTATATATATATATATATATATATATATACACTGTTAAAGTTCCATGGTAGCAGGGTTCAGAGGTCACAGTCCGACATGAAGAGAAGCGAAGGACAGTCTGTGCTTCGAAGCGAACAAACACCGGCGGTCCAGGGACAAAATGGTGGCCTGTCGGGGACGAGAGGATGTGGTGGAAAAATAAACCAAAGGAGGATGAAATGAAATCTGAACTTCATGGAAAGCAGCAGAGTAAAAGAGAGGAGGGTCCAAAAGATGAGGAGGTTTGTTTCTGAAGAACCGCAGCAGGAATGAGGCGAATTAAATAAATAAAACTCCACCTGACCTCAACAGAAATGAGAAATTCAGTCGAGAACAGGGTAACTACAGTGTTTGTTGAAAAAAAAATGTATTCGTTACAAGAGCCTAAAAACTTACGAGCTCGGCAAGTACGATGAAGCTACTTCTCCCAATGAAAGCTTTATTATTTTACCCATATAATTAATTTCAATTTGATTCAACCTTTAATTTCTATACACTGTTTACATATGTACATACGTAGCTAACATGCAAAACAGGAATTAAATAAATTTAATTGTATTTTTATTTGTCATCTTGGAGTTAAACAACTTTTACGTTTACTAAAACATTTAATTTAACTTTCCAAACATTTTGGTGATTTAAAAACATCTAATTATGTTTTTCATCAAGGTTTGGACAGTTTGTTTCTTTAATAAAAAAACACTTGTCACGTTTGGCCCTCCATACAACCTGGAGTTAAAATACTTTCATGTTTACTGAAAAGCTAAATGTACATTTTTACGTTTACCGAATTCCTCGGCTTCTGAATTTCAGTGGAAAGCAGCAAACGTATAAACACGTGTTCACTCACCGAGCATCGATACGGTACAGAATATTTATAAAACTTCTTATATTTACCGTTAAACTGGCCGAATTTATGTTGGGCTTCCAGAAACATGGAATATCTATGTTTAGCCTCATCCAGAGTGAAGCTTCAACAACGTGATCTACGTTTACTTACTCAATGTTTATTTTGTAAAATATCTTAAATATGGCTAAACTTTCCATACTATATTTTAAATTACATTTACCTTTGTCTTGGATTTAAGTGTTAATTTTTTGCTTCATTACGGTAAGTTAGTTTTGGTTAAAGCGTGTTTGTTGTGTTTTCACAAAGCTTACAGTAGAAACGTTGTTCAACTAGTTCATAAGAAATCTTAGAGATTTTAATTCATTAAGGTCTTAAATTTCAATAATAATCTTGGAAGGAATTTAAAATTTAAAAGGTTACATCTGTGATAAGGAGGAAAATACTGACTGAAATAAATTACAAGAGAAAATGTGGGATAATTCACTACACTTTAACGGCAACATTAAAGTCAATAATCATATTGAAAAAGTAAACCAGCATCTCCAGGCTGCAATCTAGAGGTTTGTGTTTAAAATCACATTTTGTAAATGAAACCAGGAACAAATCTTCCCCTAAATGACAAAAATAAAAATGAGATGCATAAAAAATGTGAGTTTTTCCCTTGAGAAACATTCTTCAGAGTTGATGTTTAGTGACTGATGGATGAAGGGATGATAAACGGATGGCTGGGTGAAGGAGTGAGGAGGAAAGAGGGGATTCTTACACTTCAGGACGCTCTGCCACGAAAAGATGATCAGCTGCGTTTTTCAGCAGAGAGTAAAAAAAGTTTTGGCTGTCCAAGCTGCAGTCAAGCCACAAAGAAAACAGAGAGAGGAAAAGGATGGATGAAGGGATGGATGAAAGGAGGAAGTGAAGAAGGTGGCCATTTTCTCTCATGTACCGGGTTTTCTTAATTCCTACAATCAAACTTTATCTTAAATCATCGTCCGTTGTCACGCCCTCTCTTTTCTTCTTCTTCTTCTCTTCCTCCAGCTCATTTGTCCTTTTTTCTCCGCTTCTGAACTTTCCGACTTCCTCCTTTGTTTCCATCCCCAGCTCCTTCCTCCTCTCTACAACGGGAACACCAGGAACCCGGAGAAGGTGGAGAATTTCCATCCGCCCATCAGGTTTCCTCTTTCCAGTTTGAGGTAGGCCCGGTCGCCCTTCTCCATCTGGATCAGAACGCCGTTGCTGGCAGCTTCGCGTGTCACATCCTGGTCGCCGGCGAACGCAGAGATCACCGGCCAGCCGTTGTGCATCAGGCTCACCTGGACCAGGACAAACACAAGCCGGGTCAGGCTACAGAAATAAATTTGGCCTTTAAAGATGCGTTAACGGAGCATTTCAGGATTTTAAACACTCGTCAGCATGAATATTTATCTTTGATATTATAATATTAGGCCTGTCACAATAAACTGGTCTAATATTGCAATAACAATATTATCGTTATTGCAATAAACGATAATATTGTTGTTTTGAGACCACTTTCAAGTAATATTGTGGTAAACACACAAAGATTTTTAATTTCTAGTTTGAAAAACCCTGAAATTAAACAGAAACTCTTTTTCTACATGACTAAACAATGGAAAGAGGCTGTAATGTGGCACAGAAACGGGTCAGCACCAGACCTGCCACAGCAATTAATCAATTGATCTCATGATAAATTACAACAAGCTCAATAATTTCCATTTGGGAGATTTATTGTCCTTCTCTCTCTTTTTTTTTTTTAACCAAAAACTGGATAAAAGTCTTCAGTCTGGAGTTTTGGTCTTGCCTTGGACTTTATAATTAATTTTATTTAATGTTTCTGTTTGGTTTATTTCTGGATATTTAAAATGTCTTCCAGTTCAGATTCAGTTTAAAATGTTCATTTAAAGTTTATTGATCTTTGGGAATCCGTTTTTGCCTTAATGATGATATTACTGGAAAATGGTCTCCAAACAACAATATTATCGTTTTTATTACGATAACTTCTGGGACGATTCATCTTCCAGAAATATTTTTATTGCGACTTAATTTAGTTCATTATTGTGAAAATGGATTTTTAACAACACTGGTCCACATGCAGACCAGGGATCATTACAAAGTGACATTAGGATCAAATAAATTGGCTCCACATTTATGCAACACATCCAATAATTACGTGGTTATTATTTTGGAACAGCGTATTTATCTGCAGTTTTACACAGTCAGCACATTATTAATAGATTTGCCAAGATGGAGGGTCTCTTTCTTCCTCCTGAATTCAACAAAACCCCACAGAGCCGACGACGGAGAAAAGGAAAAAGACGTGCAGTGCGTCTGACTCAACAAATATTTCAATAGGGAATAACATCTTGGTACAGAAAGAAGTGTCTGTCAGAGACGTTTCCCCTCTTCTTTAAACAGGCAGCAGCTTTCATCACTTCTCTTTGGAGCTACAACAGAAACACGCTCTCTCCCGGGACTCGATTCCCCTTCTTATGCTTCACTTTAAATAACAACATTGTTTTGTGCCGGCTCTGGTAGCAGCGCAGTAGTAAAACAAACTGAAACGAATGCTGGGGAAACGTCTTGTTTTTATGCAGGAATACATTTTATAAGCCGAGTGGGATTACAGGCCGTCCTGCGAGAAGGTGCTGAGCCTCCTGATGGGAAAAGGGAACAACACGGTTTCTCTTGTACTTAATTTCTACAGCCAGTTGCACAAATCATGTTTCTGCAAGAATATACAGAAGTAGAGGAAGCTGCTGTAGTTTTTTTGTTCTCTAGCTCAGATTTTGGAGAATTGAGGCAAAGCTTCGTCTCCAGCACAAAGGATCAGAATCACTTTGCACATGAAAGAAATAAATCAACACATCGGTGTTAATGGATAATTTCATTGCAAGTAACAGAAAAAACAAGTTATTTGTTGTTTTCTGTTTTCATAATTTCTGCTCTTATATTTTATGCCTTGTGTTTAGTTATTCTCATTGTTTGTGTTTCGATTTGATTCATTAGATTCGTCTTTATTTGTTTCAGGTTTTCTTTAATTTTCCGTTTCTGTAGTTTAACCTCATAATATAACCCTCCCCTTTCCAGCTGCTAATCACTGTCTCATCATTTGTCCTCCTCTCAGCCACCGATTGGCTCTTCAAGTTTCTTCCGAGTTTTATGCCTCTGGTAAGGTACGGGTGGATGGGATCCTTTCACCATCACATTCGGGAAAAGTGTTTCCATTTTCGTTTTAGCAGATTAACTCTTTTTGAGAAAAGCCTAAAACCACCTCAAGGATGTGTCGACTTTTTTGCAAAACTGAGTAAGTCATTTCAAATTTTTCTGTTCCTGTCTACCTTTTTTCCTACTGCGATACTTCAAAATGTACATCAACATACACTGATGGAAACACTGCTACCGAGTCCAGTTCAGTTTAATGATATGGAGCAGATTCATACCAAATGCCATATCAAACATCAGCAACTAAAAACAACTTCTGAACTCTTCTGTACATCAAAGTATGGTAGAGTAAAAATGGAGACCATCTGCCTTGATGGCTGAGGTTTGCTCCAAACTGGGTCATCAACAGAACAATGATCCCAAGCACAGCGACAAATCTACAGCAGAATGACTGAAAAATAAAAAAATCAAGGGTGCTGCAATGGTTTAAGAAACTCCAGGTCTCTGATGAAAATGCAAAAAACATTTTTAATCCATTTTAATTTGATATAGTTGCATTTTCTTTAGTATAAAAGGAAATGTACAAGGAAATCCCTGCATAGGAACCTATGAACTGTGTTTTGTGAGCTTTTGACAAGCTGCTTCATTGCTTTTTTGGTCTCAGACATTTATTGGAAAAAGTTTGTAATTTATTTGGCCTTTATGTTTGGATAATAGTTGAGTGGATTTAGTTTAAAGGCAGCTCAGACTGCTTTATAACCGCAGTCATGATAAAAACATTTTATTTGTATACATTTATTGAAAAGCACTCAATAAGCTGCCCTCTTTTAAGTCCACTTACATGTTCAAGGATAAAAACATTGAAGTTCTTTCTCGAAGAATGACGTTTGAGGATGTAGATTTTCTCCTAGCTTCTTAATATCAATGAAAACATGACGCCTCTTACAGCAGAAGAACCAATTTCCCTCAAATTCTCACCTGAGCGCTAAATTAGTGAAAATATTTCCTTTCACCTCACGAAAATATGTAATTGTAAAACTGTCACTAACTGATGGAGCGAAGTCATAAACATCCCATAATTATACACTTAACCAGCTCATTTGGCCTGATGGTCAGGACAGTGTGCGTGCGTGTGTGTGTGTGTGTGTGTGTGTGTGTGTGGGCAGGAGATGGAGAGCCTGTCAGAGTCGAGAGCTCTCTTGGCCTGGCACTCCTCTTAATAGAAAACTGAACTTGGCGACTCACTCGGGCTGGATGAGTGTATGAGTGTGTGTGTGTCGCTTTGAACAGTTCGTGTATGAATCCGATAAAAACACTCAGCCTACACTTAAATTATTTTTTTCAATTGTCAGAACAGAAAAAGAGAAAAGGTCAGGGCCAAAAAAAGAACACTTCAATATCTTGAAAATGTATTCATTTAAGTCTGAGAAATATATTAGAGGATACAAATTTGCCAAAAAAACGTTGCTTTTCGATTACAAAGTATATGTTGCCTTTAACCTAATGTCACGTCCACGAACAAACCATTTTAGATGTGTAAAGGATATTTCTGGAGCTGCTGTCAAATAGTTTCGCTTTTTTTTTTTTCCATTTATGTTACTATACTCACCAAAAAAATGTATTTGGATCTAAACATGGATTTTTGTGCTAATCTTCTGAATGGGATGGCGTGTTTTGGGATCAGGGGTGTGGTGATCAGTCTTCTGTTAAAAGGTAAGCTTCCTGCAGATTTTTGGTGTACAGTAACTAAAAGCTCCAAACTCTTGGAATAGTTGGTAGACACTTAGCACTCATCATCCTCCATCATTAGACACTTAGTTAGGCCATGGCCAGGCTTATCTCACGGTGTAAGATGGAGTCCGGTGCAAGTGATTTGTTTTTCGGGTTAAGCTGGTCTGAAAGGTCTTCCCATATTTTTATTGCAGGTCCTTCTCCATCCTTCACCCTTCTAGTTACTGTTTCCAGAGAAAGCAGGATGGATGGCGGCGCACAAAGAGACCTTGTGCGTCTCCATGAACACTTTGGGACAAGAATAAAAATTGTCCATGTAAAAATGGTGCCAAGAGAAGATGTGTGAATGAGGTTCATGACTCCTTCATAAGAGTTTTGCCAGTGTGCATACTAAATCTGATGGTGCAGCCAGTGCTTGATTCAGCCAAAACAAAAATTTCCATCCCCATTTAGTTGGCTTGTTCTGCATGAACTGTTATTTTAGTCTTTGCCTTAGTTGCCACAATCTGGCCTCAAACTCCTGGGGTGGAAATAAGCTTGGCACGCAATGTCATCAATGAGAGGCCTGGCTCTAAACAGTTTGTCATGTCCAGTTGATCACTTCTTTCTATCATCCGATGACGTTCCACAATATCGATCAGAACCCATGACATGACTTTGTGAGGAAGGGACGCAGATAAATTGTTATTTTGTTTCCAGTAGTCCTGAATACAGGGGAGCAACACTACATACACTTCAAAGGTCAGTCCATTTGGATTTCTTCCCTAATAACTTACTGTTGGCCGCATTTTTGTTGGTATTGTGGTAAATTGTCTTCACCATTTCAGAGGCAAAAACAATAAAAAAAGGTATTTTGGTATTTTGAGAAGAACTATTAGTGCTCATCCTTTACCTACAAAACAAAAACCAATAAATATCACAAAAATCACAAACTGGATGTCACAAATCACTCCACAAAAAAACTTTGTCAGTTTCGCAATCTCACCGTTTTTCCCAGTACTCCATTTCCTCGTTTCTCTTTCTGCGCTGCTACATGTGCAACTTTCCTCTATTCTTCAGCAACAAGCTGTGGCCAATTTTTACTGCCAGTTTCATGGTTCAATATGTGAGATTCCCGCCAGCAAAGGGATCTCAAACTGGCACCTTCCCTTTCATATTTACAGGATAGACGTTTAGCATATTCTGAAAAAAAGATGGTTTAATTATTTTAGTGTAACTTCAGTTTTACTTGCCCTGTTCATTTAAAAGTTGGTGTGTAGTTTATGATCTGCACTTTAAGCACAGGTTGAAATTGAAACTTAGGGAGTCTGAGTCCTGCTGCTATGTCATCCCAAATCAGACAAGTTTAAAATAATAAATACAAAAAAAAATAATAAATCCATGTCCACAGACCCTTAAGATT